CTCCTATTTGGTCATGGCAGCAGCTGCCATTATGGATTCAAGCCAGAGAGTGCTCATTTGGTTAAACAGGCAGCACTCAAGAAGGCTGAAAATAACATTACAGATAAGTAATGCAGCAATTTTGCATCTGTTCTGTGGTCCCATTAATTTCCTTAACCAGAACTAAACTGAACATACAAGCAGGCTGGCCCCTTTCCTGCCTTTCACTATTAGTTGTAAACCTGCTGTTGTAATATAAAAGCTGCTTATAATATCATTAACATCTGTTTAGGCTCACTTTGAAACTTGCTGGTGACGCTACACCCTGTCTTCACAGTTTCTCTTGGGGTTGAAGATTCTAGCTGCTCCTTCCTCAGTGTTGAAAGTTAGAGCAGCCTCAAGGACAGAGTGGCTTGGAGAGCTTCCACCTCCAAAATGGTCTGAACATAGCTTCCTAAACAGTGCTTAGTGCCCTCCTCCTGGGCGACATGGCCTTTCAGATGCCAGCTAGGCTAAAACCCAAAAAGGCAGATGGATTCCAAAGTTCAGCCTGAAGCTAGGAACCTTGTAGGGAGGAGGTTCAGGGTTGGTTGGTCCCCCTAGTGGCCACCAAGGTCTTAACCTCACACTCTAGATGAGCTGCACTGGCTTTGTGTTACCTGCCTAGAAGGAACATACACTTGGCCCGATGTGTGCTGACACATGGACTGTTTTAAAGAGGTCTTCCTGGGAATCTGGCTGAATGCTAACAACTGTCCATCCTGTTGCTCTTCTGGAGAACTTCCTGAATTCTCCCTGGTCCCAGACAGAGTTCTAGGTTGTGAGGACATGAAGATAAAACCATGTTTTTATCTAATTTTATTCTAATGAGAGAAATCATTAAAAACACAAGATAGAGGCTGGAGAGATTTTTTCCACAGTTAAAGCACTTGATGCTCTTCCAAAGGACCAATGTGTTATTCCCAGCACCTAACTGGAGGTTCACATCTACTTGTAACTCCAGTTCCAGGGGATCCTATAACCCTCTTCTGGCTTCCTTGGGTACCAGGCACGTGTGTGGTGCATAGACATATTTGCAAGCAAAACACCCATGTGCATTAAACTTTAAAATATACAAATATAAAAACAGAATTGAAAGTATACACCAGAAAGATGGATCTTGTCAAGAACTGGTCCTTGGGATGAAAGACTCTTAGGCTCTGTGTGGCAATAGCATGTGGGCTTCAGAGCTCCACTCTACGAGGCTGAATCTTAACCTTTAGGTGTTTTTATTCAAGAAAACATCAACCTTATTTCTTCTTTTAGTTAAAGGGGGGAGCTGAAATGAGTTGGAAAGTTGAGAAACACTAACATGATAGACAGAACCTATGAGATGTCCTAGGAAAGCAACTCCAAACCCAACTAAGAGACCAGAAACTTCCTTGGCAAACAAGGCACATGGGTCAAGTCTTGAAGTAGGAGACATTCCCCAGGAGCACAAGAGGAAAGAGATGGGCACCTACGGAGTAGAGTCTTAAGACTGGAGACCATCCAAGGGCTGTGTAAGAACTTGTGACTCTACCAGGAGAGACTCTGCAAGTTGGGTTGAGATAGGAGAGGACAGTGTGGCCCTCTGGAACTCAAAAGGCTTGCTTGTAAGTATTAGGAAGTTAGGAAACTGATAAGGAGGCTTCACCTGAGATTATGATATATTCAGGGTTGTGTTTTACAAATGTTCGAGGATGGAAAGACCAAGCCTCATGAATTGGAAGCACTAGCAAAATGGATGGGAAAGGAGGGCGATGACCAGGTCCCAAGCAAGAAAACCATTTAGAAGGAAACCTTACTGAAAAAAAAAAAAAAAAAACTAGGCAGAACCAAGCTCAGCCTCCTCAAGGACAAGAGACAAAGACAGGCTTGGGCACCTTGATCATGGCCAGATGGGCCATGTCGTTTAGATAGGATCATGTAATGGCAGCTGCAATGGGAAGAAGGAAACAGGCTAATCAAACACCTATTCACTTGAGGCATCTGCATAGGAATTTCTAGGAGTGTTACGTTTTTTAACCTTGTCAGTAAAATCGTGCACAAAGACATTTTTTAAACTATGAAATTTCAAGTCCATACAGAAAACAGGGAAACAGTGCAATAAACCGGCAGCAACCATGGCTAGCTAATTCCCAGTCTAGTTTCTCCTCCCACTGAATTATTTGCAAGCAGTCCCAGGCATCCCATCCTGTAAACATTAACAATATCCCTAAAGGGAGGTCCCTGGAAATTTAACCCAGTTAAAAGAATTAGCAAAGATCTCAATATCATCATGTGTCTCAGCAGTGTTCACGATTCCCAGAAATGTTTCATATATATTTTCATATATGTATATGGTTTTTATATATGAAAATATATGCACATACAAATATATGTATACATTTCATATATATAAATATGTGTCTATAAATAATGTATATACGTCCTATATATGTATATATAGAGAACAAGAAAGTGAACAAAAAACAAGAGAGAGGGAAAGAGATAATTAAGATGTATTTTTTAAACAACTGGTTTGTTTAAATTAGGATTCCCAAAGATCTCCTTTTTGCCTTATCACCCTTGGGAGAGTGTGTTTTTAGTATAATGCTGCCATTTTCTTGTTTTGTATCTATGTCACATCCTGGGTGTCCAGCAGTTGTCTTCTTTGCCAACTACTTGGGTACAAATATAAAATGTCCCCATGTAAGCTGGCCTGAAGCACAACTATCCTAAATCCATCTACTCTATCCCAGAGTTATTTTTCATTGTGTGATACAAGGATGAAGGTCTATCCCAGAGTTATTTTTCATTGTGTGATACAAGGATGAAGGTCTCCCCACTCCTCTCAGCAAGTGGGTCTGCCCCCAAGTCCACCTTCCTCTCAGCCAATGCTTGTTTTCATCTAGGCTGAAGCTGTACCTAAAACTTTCTACAAACTAACAGAGGGGCCAACAGAAAACCCAGACATAATTAATATTAGCTATTATTTAATTATGCCAGGGTCACTAATTGAATGTATCATTCCCAATTCTATCCAGGTTGTAATTATTGATGCAGCTTGCAGCATAAGTGTATCTACTCACTATATCCCGCATTCATTTACAAAGACAGCTCTGTCAAGTAACAAAATATTATGCTATCAAAAAGTGAGGGCTTGAGCTTGGAGAAATGGCTCAGAGGTTAAGAGTACCAGCTGCTCTTCTAGAGGTCCTGAGTTCAGTTCCCAGCAAACCACATGATGGCTCACAACCATCTGTAATGAGATCTGGTGCCCTCTTCTGGCATGTGGGCATACATGCAGGCAGAACACTGTATACATAATAAAAGAAATAAACGAAAGAAAGAGAAAGAGGGAGAGAGGGGGGCAAGGAAGGAAGGAAAGGAAGGAAGGAAGGAAGGAAGGAAGGAAGGAAGGAAGGAAGGAAGGAAGGAAGAGAAAAGATAGGAAAGAAAGAAAAAGAAAATGTGGGTTTTCTGGGCTTGTATTCACCAAACAGCTTCTGATGCTTCTCCCTGGAACATTCATTAGTTCATAATGACCAGCCTGTTCACCACCACATAATCAACAGCCTAGAAGAAACTTGGGGAACCATCTCCCAGAGTCCTTAGACTTCATGTGGAGGACCCTAAGCTGCTGATCCAACTTGAGCCAGATACTGAGTGCTTTTCGAACCTAAGACATTGATTCTAGCACTGCGTCTTATGATTTGTGGCCTTTAATTCCCAGAACAAGTGACTGGTGAGGCACAGAGCCCACGAAAAGTGGTGTCAGCTGCATTCCAGAACTCCCAGGCAACAGCCAAGAATAAAGTAAATGCTGACAAGAGAGGGCACGTCCCTGCCCACATTACTCCCCTGACCTTGCCTTTATGTCCCCACTAATTCTTCACTCTGCACACAGATAATTGAATTGTTAACTCAAGCTTTTCCTTTCCTCCTTATTTTAGCATTTCATATTGTAAATGAACAGCTGCTTGATGCAAAAATGTGGCTCTGTGAATACCTTACTCCATACGCTCCAACTGTAAAAACTGACTATTTTGTTCAAGTAGTTACTGGGCCATTTCATTGTATCCTGAGGTACAGAAATGAAACAGCTCCTTAGCAGTTCATGGGGCTCTCAAGCCAATGGGTAAAACAAATGTCAGGAATTTTAAACATGAGCAAATAAAAATCCTTTGAATCCTGAGACTTCATCATGCAACCCAAATAGAGTCATAACATCCACCATGTTGAAAGTAGCCTGTGACAACTTTCTGACAAATGTTTGGGGAAGAACAGAAATATCTTCTTTCTTGCCACTATTAAATGGCCCACAGAACACAAGCTCATATGGCAGCCTGGTAGAGGATCCTGAAGTGCATGAATAGTTTGCATCAGCTCTTACTCTCTGTAGCAGAGAGAACATTACTGAAACCCCTGCTACAATGCCTCTCGTTTGATCTGTGGGACTAAGACACTGTCGATGGAATTATATAAAAGATTTTCTAAAATTCCTGGTACTGTCTTCAAGATAACCACACTGGGTCCCACTTAAACAAGTGTCATTATTTGATCCAACCCTGAGCAAAACCAACTTTCGTATTTTGAGACGTGGTGTATTTGTAAGGCCTGGAAATGGAAAATTTTCTGAGTTATTGGGTGGCATTCTCGTTCTGTATTATCTACTCAGCTGTATGGTTATTCCACGGGCATTGATCACATACTCAGAGAAAGTCTAGCCAAGCACTGTGCATGGCAGAGACATAACATGGAAGTTCTGTGGCCGTCATTAGGTGGGCCACCCACTGTTTAAATTCAAGTGTTCCCCATTCCTGGCACTCATGACAACTTCATCCCTGAATTAGAATGTGAAATCCTATTAAGGAAATGCTACTTCCCAAAATAATTATTTTCTGAGCCATTTAGTGTTTCAGCAGCGAAGTCTTGAATTTCCTGCTTCATGGAAGGATATGTGCGTTATTTCTCTTTTTCCAATGAAACCAATTATGATTCCTTGGCATTTATTGCAGATGAGCAAGAAAGTTCCGGAGCGATTATTTATACAGTGGAGCTGAAGCGCTATGGGGGGCCCCTTGGCATCACGATTTCAGGAACTGAAGAGCCATTTGATCCTATAATCATCTCAAGCCTCACTAAAGGGGGATTAGCTGAAAGGTAAAATGTGAAGGAACGGCTATAATTGCCTGTGTCTGAGAGGGGCTTGCTCCCTCACGGCTGTGTGAAAACATGCTCTCCTCTCCTAGCTGTTCATCTGTTGACTTTTAAATCTGCACAGAGGATTGATTTCCGAGCTTGGGAACTCTTGGGCAGAGCTCTGACTTGACATTGAAGGGCATCTTACAGTCAGTGAAGGATGCCGTAGGCTTAGCATGAGTATTAGTCTCCAAAAAAATGTGTTGGGAGACCACAGTCAGCTGCAGGTAGATTTATACTGTCCATTTGGGGAAGAAATGCTAAAGTTGAGGGCAGTTAAAAGGCTTATCCAAATCAATTCTGCAAACACTTGCTGAGCTTTCTGTTGCCTGACAGTATCAGACTAAGCTTCTCTGTATTGGGGTAGGGGTGGGGGGATAATAAAGACTTGGTCCTCAAATACTACAGCTAATAGAGGGTAGTCACCCTCTCAATAGTGTCTCATTGAGCTGTGTCCATTTGTTCTTTGACAGTGATGAACAGGCCCCACCTGCTCTCAGCCCTCTGCTGAACTGCACTTCTTTTATTCCTGAGACTTGTTGCTGGGTGCACAACAGGCTCTATAACTAGATCTTTTTCTGGTGACTTAGTTCAAGAATGCTCAGGCACATCATTCAGGTCAATATTTGATGATAACAGTTTGCAAGGTGGGGATGTAGCACTGCAAAATTTCAGAACTCCGAGGTCCCTTACTCAGAAATCAGTCCACTTGACAACTCTGTCTGTCGGGGATAAGGGGACTGGGGGAGCCAGCCAGGGCCACTAGACTAGGGTTCAATATTCTAATTTTAGCTGAGGCACCTAGCAAAGGGAGCTCCTTAGGCATCCCCTGTCCTAGTTATTACTGTTAGACAACACAGGATCTAGCACAATGTTTCTTTGCACTTACATCTCACAGCCTACATCCTTCTTGAACTAATGCTGTTTATGAGAGAAGAGATTTTTTTTCAAAGAAAAATTCCATAATTCAAACTACAATGGCAGGCAGGTTAAACAGCCCCTCCTGACCAGTGTATACTGTGTCACCTCTGTCACCCAATCTGTGGCCCCTAGAACAAGCTGTGTTCAGAGCACCCAGTCCCCAGCAACCCTGTAAACAGGGTTAATTCCTTCATTATCTGAATTTGAAGTTATCCAGATAGATAGATAGATAGATAGATAGATAGATAGATATTGATAGATGATGGATGGACAATATAGATAGATAGATAGATAGATAGATAGATAGATAGATAGATAGATAGATGTAGAGTGTGATTGAGAGAGACCCAGTCAACTTCTGATAGCGACATGCCCACACATACACATATATGCGTACACACACACACACACACACACACACACACACACAAATTGGTTAATTGGTTGAGTGATGTGCTTTCTTTGTCCACATTTCAATCCAAGCTCTCACATATGTTTTACCATTTCCTCCTCAGGGCTTCCCTTTGAGGTGATTACCCCCATTCTAGTGGCAAGGGACTAATATCCCGAGAGTTAAAATGAGGTGACCATGTCACACAGCTGGCCAGATGGATATCAGAGATGGACTAAAAACTTAGCACTAAATAAACCCTCTGTTCAGCATTTTTCCACCCTCAGAATCAGCCAGGGGCTGCTGCTGTCCTAGTCTAGTCTATGCCCCAATCTCTTGAACTTGTCTTAAAGTAAGGTGAGCACCACTTTGTAGTAAACATTTTAAATTGGGAGGAATCAAGAATGTTGCCTGCTACACACTGTTGTATCTGCTTCTCCACAGAGTTCATTTCCTTGGGACCTGTAAGGAGTTTACCAAATAATGCCCAAGTCTGTTCTCAAAACTAATTAAGACACTTTTTCTAATTTTATTAGAAATTACTAAAAAGTAATTCACAGCAGATGCAGTTACAACATTTCCCGAAAGCTAGAAGTGAATGTTAGAGACCTCACCAAGTCTTTATTATAATTAATGTCCAGGCATATTGGGAAATTTACCCCAAGAAGCTTGCAGGGATTTTGTGTCTGCCTTCCCTACCCCTGTCTGGTGTGACTGCCTTCATTACCCCTGTCTGGTGTGTCTGTCTTCCCAACTCCTGTCTGCTGTTCCAGGACTGGAGCGATCCACATCGGAGACCGTATCCTAGCCATCAATAGCAGCAGCTTGAAGGGGAAGCCTCTCAGTGAAGCCATCCACTTGCTGCAGATGGCAGGAGAGACTGTCACCCTGAAAATTAAGAAACAGACAGATGGTGAGTGGGGCTGGCATCCCAGTTAAGGATTTCCAGTCTGTTTCCTTCCCTAAAAGAATGTGCCCAGTGTCTGTGTGTTTTACTAGGGAAATGGCTCTCCAGCTAGAGTATATGGGCGTCTTTTCATGTTTTTACTTTCCACTGATGCAAACCCCCTTTCCCTGTCTGTAAAGCGCAACCAGCATCAAGTCCCAAGAAGTTCCCCATCTCCAGTCACTCGAGTGACATGGGAGATGGTGAGGAGGACTCCTCCCCAATACAGAAGCCTGGCAAGCTCTCTGACATGTACCCCTCCACGGTGCCCAGCGTGGACAGTGCTGTGGACTCCTGGGATGGGTCTGGAATGGACGCCAGCTATGGAAGCCAAGGTATGGAAGATTCACTTCTGCTCCATGTGCAGAATGCCTTTTGGCAACCCATATCTGTCTCAGTTGTGTCCACTTTCAACAACCTGAACCCTTCCACATGCTGGCCTGGAATGTTCTTCTTCTTGTGAGTCATGAGCATTTATCACACACTGGTAGGCTCCTGATGGCCAAGTGTTCCATGCAGAAAGCTTAGGTGGATATGAAGCAGACCATACAGTAGGGTTCATGGAGACAGGCTCCATTGTGTTGTGCTTTTAGCAAGCATTCCACGAAGATGAGCCTGTAACAAGAGTATTGCCAATGACTAGAGAACCCATTGATTCTTGGGCATGCCTGGCTCGTACAAAACTACAGTTTTCCTTAGTATTCATTGTTAGGGTGATATGGTTGTGATATGTGATAGTATGTTACAGATATGTCTCCACAGACATGATGCTTGCATCAATAACACAGACAGAGTGGGGAACAGGTTTGAGTGTGTGTGTATCCAGCTGCCCTCATCTCGGTTTTCATATTTCTTTTTCCTCAGCCTGCTGTGATTGTGTCGCTTTCTGTCAAGTCCCCAATAGGTGGGAAAAATTGAAAGGACTTATTACATCAGTTTTTGAGCTTTTACATAGTCATGATATTAGAATTTGATGGAGAAAATAAGTCGAACATCTCAAGTAAAGTCAAAGATCGATTATTGTGTGTGTGTGTGTGTGTGTGTGTGTGTGTGTGTGTGTGTAATGGTATGTTGAGTATGAGCACAGAAGTGCAGGAGACCAGAGGTGTCCTATCTCCCTGGAACTAGAGTATCAAGCAATGGTGAGCCACCTAATGCTAGTACTGGGAACCAAACTCCAGTCCTGTGCTGAGCCATCTCTCCAGCCCCCACCACAAATAAATTTCTATCTGGCAATTCTTCCAAGTCATAGTACCTTGTTATAAGTTAGTCATGACACCCAATGTCACATTTTTACTGCCTGAAAATTATTGGAACACAAGGAGATGCCACATAAAGGACCCTAGTCAAGTTTTATCACTGTAAATAGAGTTTGCTCATTAGTAGGTGTGTTGAGTTACTCTTTACTAATGTAGAAACTTATTTACACACATTTTTTGGTGAGAAAACTATTGATAGCAATGAGTTCTGCCCTATAAGGTGATGCTTATAAACTCAGCTATTCCAGCCTTTTGCATCCTAAGACCAGTATCATGATTGACATATGAAATATATGGTTACCCCTCCTTAGTAAGAAATGAAAAACTACTTTATGAAGCATTTCAAAAATTTGAGTAATAGTCATAATAATATTAAATTTAACACTGACACATTAAAATCTTTATAAGGCTGGAGAGACTACGAGATGAGTAGAGATCATGACGATGGGACAGAGTTAAGATAATTTAAAAATGTCATAATGCCTTATATCAGTCAAATGCCGGAGTTTCCTAAGCATGTTCACATGATACCTCTCATGTAATTCCTTAAGGAAACTGCAAATCAAAGGTCACTCTTGGTCATGGGGTCCAGTGTGAGGGGAAGATGCAGAAGTCAGCTAGTTTGGCATCTGGCGTGGTCCTTGGGGCTGTGTCCAGCACTGCTGTGTGTGGACGTGTTGTGTGTCCTTCAGCACCGAGCTGACAAGCCCTCTTAGCCTTCCCTGTCTCTCCAGCAGCTCTGACAGCTCAGAAGTCCTGACTATGTGGAGCTGAAATCTGCTGTGCCCTTTGTCAATTATTCCTAGTTACAACATCAAGGTGATTCAGAACAAGCTCCAGCCCCTTCCTCTTGGCATCCCTTTGGGTTGCTGGGTGGTGTTATCGCTTCTCTTTCAAGTCTTTCCTTCTTCAAGCAAAATAGCCCAATTCCTTCAACTGCTCCCCTACCTAACCTATTTTCAAGCCTCGTTATTGGCTCATTGCTCTCTCTTCTCAATATGCCCAAGTTTAACTCTGTGTTTACTCGAGTATAGCACTCGGAAAAGAGTCCTACGCTGACTGGCAGCTCAGAGCTCAGCAAACCTTCTCTGTCCTCATGAAGACAGCAGAGCCTGCCAGGACCACCCACCATCACACTGGGGTTAGGACTGCACCCTACATTCATCATTCATTTTGACCTTGCTGTTCATCAAGATCTCTGAGTCTGGGTTTCTTAAGGCATTGGGTGAAAACCAGGTAGATTTAGCTTTTGACTGTTTTTTTTTTGTATTGTTTTATTTGATTTTGTTTGTTGTTTGCTTTTGTTTTTTGCAAGGCAAGTTTTCTCTGTGTAACAGTCCTGGCTGTCCTGGAACTTGCTTTTGTACATCAAGATGGCCATGAACTCACAGAGATCTACCTGCCTCTGCCTCCCAAGTGCAGGGATTAAAGGCATGTGCCACCACCACCTTGTGACTATTTATAATTGACGTTTTATAAGCAAAGGATAAAATATACTAATTTTCCTCTGGTTAATTATCATGTTCTGAGCTAGTCTTTCCAACTTGTCCCTCTAGCCCAGCAAGCGGTTCTCAACCTTTGAGTCGTGACCCCTTTAGAGGTTCTCATATCAGATATCTGCATAACATTTACATTATGATTTATAGCAGTAGCAAAATTAGTTTTGAAGAAGCAACAAAATAACATTATGTATGGGGGTCAACACAACATGAGGAACTGTTAAAGGGTCATGGCGTTAGGAAGTTTGAGAGCCACTGATTTGCAGTATTAGGAAGGTTGGGAACCACTGACTTGGCAACATTAGGAAGGTTGAGAACAATTGATTTGCAGCTTTAGAAAGGATGAGAGCCACTGAATTGCAGAATTAGAAAGGGTGAGAGCCACTGATCTGCAGCTTTAGGAAGGGTGAGAGCCACTGATCTGCAACTTTAGGAAGGGTGAGAGCCACTGATTTGCAGCACTAGGAAGGGTGAGAGCCACTGCACTGTCCTCTCTTTTCTGACCCACAAAGATCTCACACGGTCAATGTCTTCTTTAAGCCTGTAGCTGCCTTGAATTCCCTGAACCCCCATGATGCAAAACAGTGGATGACTTTGGTAACCATGTTTTTTTATTATTCTCTGCTACTTCACCAAAATGTCCTATTTACTCATTCAAGAGATTTTTAAGGGTTAGCATAATTCAATAGGATGAGGTCTCTGTTCTTGGAAGGGCCCAACAGTTCACAAGTAAACAAATAACTACCAGCAATGATAAATATTTCTTAGTGAAAAAGAAAATAGGGTGGAATGACCAAACTGATGGAGACAAAGCGGGTTTGTATAATAAAGGGTTACAGTGGGGTTTCCTTACTGAGTGGTTCTGGGATATAAGCTTCTCCTGGTCACCTTGGGGGCAGCTTCTCCCTCTCCCATTCTCCGATGCCCCAAGCCAGTCTCCTTTATCTGGATCTGGATCTTTGGACCCATGGGTCTTAATTATTCCTTCTTCTACCTGAGGAAACCCTGATGGATACCGGGATATAGCAAAAGTCAATATGAAAGGAGACAGTAAATTGTCATCTCCTGAACTTTCATCCTCAGGGAAATTGATGCTCTCATGGTCTCTATAATCCTCAACTGGCAACTCAGGTAGCTATATTTCTGACTGATTGTTTGAAGTCACTTTTACCACTTGTATTTTCCCTAGAAAAAAACAGTGTTTTTTAATCCAAGTTTAAATATATTTGCATATAGTTAAGTAATCTCTTGATTAATCATCTTATTTTCTCAGTTTCTAAACACATCCCTAATATACATTCCCTAATATATTTGTGTTACTTATGTTTCCATGATTAGATTATTAGTGGTTTGCTTTATTTTTTCCCCAGAAACTGTCACTTGTGTTTACTTATTATTTTCACACTGGGTCTTTGATATATGGTTGGTTTAACTCTTTTTTATTGTTTTGGTTTGGTTTTGTTTGGGGTTTTCGAGACAGGGTTTCTCTGTGTAGCTCTGGAGGCTGTCCTGGAATTCTCTCTATAGACCAGACTGTCCTACAACTCACAGAGGTCCACCTGCCTCTTCCTCCCTAGTGCTGGGATTAAAGGCATGAGCCACCTCCACCTGCATCCCCTATTCTTTTATACAAACTTTGCACACAGCTTGTGCTCACCCTTTAAAAATTATCACTCAACACCCCATTGAGTGAATCTACCATGAACTGGAAGTTTTCTAGAGGCTCTGAGCAAGCTGTAAGCTTCTATCATATTCTAGGCCAGCCTTGGCTAGCAGCTTCACTGTGGTAACAGGATAAGGGTTTCCCAGCTGGCTGCAATAGAAGATGCAGCTCTCACCAGAAGAACTGCTGTTCATCTGTATGTATCCTCTCTCAGTCCACCTGACTTTCCCCTGGTGATAGACAGGATCCAGGGTGTTTGCTGCCACCAGCAGGTTCAGTGCATCCTAGCCTTCTAAGCAATGATTGCTGTTTTGTCTCTGTCTCTGTCATGGCCTCTGTTTTGGCTGACTGGGCCTCTGCAAGTCTCTGGCCAGACAAATCTTCTTTCTACCACACACACTACTACCACCACACATACACACACACACACACACACACCAACACACATACACACACACAAACATCAACACACACACACACACACACACACACACACACACACACACACACACACACACACACCACCCCACAC